AGACGTAAGAAGAAATTACTCGAGCTAGAATGTTACCGCCTGAACATTCGTGCCCGTCTGAACAAAGCTGAAACAATACCGGTGAAATAGGTTCTCACCATAAATTTTAATGATAATCGCAAATGCCATATTGCTTAAATAAGGCGGGATAATAATTGAGTATGTTTTAACGGCGGCATTAAAAAGTTCATACAGTTTAATCGTTCAAAACGCGCAGGATGCCACGAATAATATTTCCATTTTCTCCATTACCAATGAAGCGTAATTCAACCGGAGCGTTTAGTCTTCAGTTCTTCGTTCAGAACGGCACAGAAAATTTTATGTCTCAGATATTAAAATAAACAGTTCGCTCAAACTATTGATTCTGAATAAGCCTCTAAGCCGCTACATATTCTTTTCAAACATATTGGCTTGAATATTGGAGTTTGTCAACTAGTCAACGATCACTTTGCTTTTCCAAAATAAGACTTCACGGCTAACTCAGCTTGCCTCCAATTGTTTTGGCGGAGCAACATTTTCCAGTGATATTATGTACCGAACGAAGAGAAAAAGCAAATCTGTTTCTCGATTCAATTTTACGCTTAGCTGGAAATCATGAAGGACGGAAAGCGATGATCCGTATTAATCATCCATCGCAAAAAATACTGAACAAATCAAGCAAAAAAAACGAAACCAGCAAGTCTGTCTACTTCCACAGTTTACTTCGTCTTATCACTGATGAGGTGTAATAATACTGCTCTCCCGGATTAACTTCCGTACACAGAAACGATAGACCTCTGCACATAGCTGGTGAAAAAGCCTAGTGTCCAGCGTTTAACATCCAAAGGAGACTTCCTGACAGATTGTTAATAAAGTTCCACTTTAATTATCGTTGGCGAAGTCATCCAAAATCATCTCATCATCATCCTCGGGCTCGATACCTTCTAGAAGCAAGTTGAAACACGGAGACAAAGGATCAATAAAATGCGCATATGGCGACGACCCAAGAGGTCTGCCACACAACCAGCAAAAGTTCTCACCGCATTTTAGGCATTGCATTCGATTGCAACCATAATTCTTCTACAAAGGCAATCGCGTAGCTGGTGACGTAGCGAAAGCATGTTATAGAATAATACCTCGATCGGCGCCTTGCAGCTGGGACACGGTTTACTGTGTTCTGATTTCCATTTTTCATTACTCAGTTCATTGGTAGCGTTCACAAGCTGCTGCTTGCCGTACCTCCTCTCCATGCACTTTCTTTCTTCCGGTGAGGATTCCATGTACTTCCTCACAACTTCTTGCAAATTTACTGAAAGCAAAAATAGTACTTACCAACGATGTATACCGACAATAATACACCAGAAACTAAACTTAGTAATATAATTAAATTAGCCAAAAAACTTAAACTTTCATTTAGGTAACGAAGCGGAAGAGCCTAGGGGTCTAACATGTACTCCCAAACGAAGCTGAAATACTATGCAAACAAATATTAAACGTAGCTATAACCGAAAAAGCTGTTCCACGCCTGTTACCTACTAGACGTCAGTGCCTCCTGTATTTTCAACAGAACGCACGAAGTCGAACGTTACATTTAGTGTTGTCAGCCAGAAGTTTCATTTTCTGAAGATAATCTCTACTACAAGATGGACATGAAGGCACACAATCTCCGAACCCTCCTAATGGTAACTAGGGTAAGGAACCGAACCAGCACTACTGTAAAACAAAAGGTCAGGTCCTTGGCATAGAGTATCAGAACGTCAAGCAGTTGTAACCATTAGCAGGTTATTGACCGGCATATCTTCTACGAATAGTGCTGTGAATGTCATGCTCCAGAGGTTTCAAAAGTTAATAATAACAATCACAACGCACCCAGAAATCGAACACAACATCCCTAGAGATGAGCCTGAATCACTCTTCACCAAGCTACGACTCCTTAAATCATAAGATAGCATTTCTTACCAATGTTGCATGGCATCACTCCATGATACCCTTTGAGACAAAGAGGGCAAAAGGAAAACCCGCAAAAAGAACATGTCGCCAAATTATCTTGGTCGTCTTCTTTCACCACCGGCATCTGACAGACCATCCGAGGACAGTAAATGATGTCCGCCATGGCACTGAGACCTTTCGCCAGCGCC